CAAAACACCCAACATGTTTCTCCCTCTTTCTCTGCTCCACTCTTGCTACCGCTCTCCACCTACAGGCCCACAGGTCAGAAACACACGTGCCCTACAGTGGAAGGGAGAGGAGAACCCCAGGCCTGAGCACTGATGTCACTCCTTCCTCACAGACTGAGAGGACATTGAGGGTGGCTGGGTGAGGCGTGTTTCCCTGAGGACTCCGTCTGATGCCCGTGCACTGGTGAACTTTTCTATTTTTATTTAGAGAGCTTCTTTTCCTTTTTAAACATTTTACTCCCAATGATCCCAAAGATATACAAAATCAGGCAGAACAGTTACAAGAGCCCCAGGGGTACTGGTCACATGGCTTCAACAATGACGGAATCCTGGCCCGTCGTACCTCATCTTTCTCCCCATGCATTCTGTCCTCCCATTTCACTCTGCCGCAAATCCCAGATACCTCATCATCTCCCCTGTAAACATATCAAGAAGTATTCTCTGAAGTATACACACTCAGAACCCCTTTTCTAAAAAATTGTGGCCAAATGCCACTGTCACACCAAAATATGGTGTCACTTTTGTGTTCATGTAATCACTGATTTCTGGCTTCATTATCCCATTTCTTATGTGATAAAATCTAACCAGAATTTGAAATATTTCTCCAGATATGCTTAAATAAAAATTCAAAAAAATAAATAAATAAGGGTTAGACTTAGAGATTTACTTTAACTCTTCTTTTAAAATTCTAAATTATGGGGCGCCTGAGTGGCTCAGTGGGTTAAAGCCTCTGCCTTCGGCTCAGGTCATGTTCCCAGGGTCCTGGGATCGAGTCCCACATCGGGCTCTCTGCTCAGCAGAGAGCCTGCTTCCCTTCCTCTCTCTGCCTACTTGTGATCTAACTGTCAAATAAATAAATAAAATCTTAAAAAAATAATAAAATAACATAAAATAAAATAAAATTCTAAATTAGTCCAGTTGTTTAATCTCTACTAAATATGATATGAGAATTGCATCTGTAGAAACTGAAGCAATGGGGCCCTTTTTATTCCTGCTCTTCTTCAAGCAGGGAGGCAGGCTCTTAGGAGGCTGGACGGTTCACTTCACTTCCCAAAAGAGGAGAAATAGGTGGACAGAGACCAAGGGGTCCCACACAGCTGGCCCGTGGCACGGGGAACATCTGAACTTGGGTCTGTCCCCCTTTCAAGTCTAGGCATTTCTACCTACACACACAGGTAGCTTCCTCATGGTAGGATTGTTAAACTCCCAAGGAGAAATGCTTTTTCTCACTCCTGGCCCATTACCAGACTTGAAGAATGTTGGCTGGAACCTGGGCCAGCATTTAACACCCCCACTGTACAGATGAGGATATAGAGGCCTGGAGTTATGAAGTCACTTCCCAAGGCCATTCAAGCCAGGGAGCTCCCAGGCCAGGAACAAAAATCATATTTTACATCTTTGAGGCAGTACCCTTTCTCTGCTCCTGCCTTATCTCTGGGTGTAATCGTTCCAGTCCTCTTCTTCCTGCTTTCGTCCTCTGCTTAATAACATGTTAGAACATCCAAAGGCCGACAGCATTTGGGAAGCTCTTGTAACAGCAGGACACAAGCACCAAAGGTCACAGTCAAAGTCATTCCAGCACTCCTTGCTGTGCCCCTGAAGTGTATCACAAGAGCACGTGCCCTTCCCATGGACTGCTTAGCAGCATGTGCTGTATTACCGACAAGCCCGAAGAAAACCAAAGTCCCGTTTCAAGAGACTACAGTAATAATCTACTTACATATCATAAAACTAAGGATGCAGGAGTGACAGAATTCCAAACGGAAGGCAGGGGCACGGAGTCGGTGTGGATACGTTACTGTACCTATTCAGTTCACAGGGCTACAAGCTGAACATTATGCCATCAACGAGAATGTGTGTTTCCAGCATTTCCAATTTTTATTTTTTTGTTCACAACCACCCTATGAAGTCGACAGAGCAGGTTTATAACGAGGAATGACGCACTGGTTTTGTATTTTTTCACCATGCCCGTTATAATGCCCAGACAAGGAAAGCATGTATTTCCTGACCACTTGGCCGGGGCTGGGACCTACAAGAAAAATACAAGGAACAGTTCTTGTCCTCCAAGAGCTTACAATCTGACTGCAGAGCTGTGACCATCCCCTGCACGCGGCTGTATTATGCAGTGCATCTTTACAATGCCACCTGAAAAGCACATGAAACTTTTCTTCTCCAAAAGACTGAATGTTTAATGTCTATGTCTTAAAAACACACTCTTGAAATTAGGTCTTCCAGAGTGGTTACAGAATCTAATCCTTGACATCAAGCTGAGGCTTTCTCATTCATTGTTGTGATGCACTGATTCATTTCTATGACTTTGTGTTTATTGTTACTAATATCACGTCTTTTTCAAAAGTCCATAATCACCTATTTGATCAAGTTCACCAATGGTCACACTTTCTTATAAACATAGTCAAACTTCAACCAGCTTCTAACAGGAACTGAGGAGAGTCCTAGAAGACTGAAATAAGGAAATCTTTAGAATTCTGTTATTCTTTATCTAAAATAGTTCTGATTCTGAAATGATACTATGTATCACCCAACCCTGTTATACCCCAATTAAAAACTCCAGTAAAATGACCAAAAGTGAAGTTCGCTAAAAGTCTAGATTTTAATCCCTAATTTTAAAGAAAAATTGGACTGAAATATTATAAATGATTAAACACAAATTACTATATTCCATAAATAATGAGGTCATAATACATTCCATTAAACACTGGGCTGCTTCTCTTAAAGCTTTACTGTAAAAGAGAACAAAATTATATCTGCCATATATTTAAGAAGTTCATACAAAGGTAAGGAAAAGAATAAAATCAAGTTTCTACTTCCCTTCAACATACACAATCTAAATGAGGGTTAAAATATTAACAGCAGCTCCATTCACAAGGAGGAAAACTGATTTTAATGACTAAGAGTTAAGTAAAACCTACGAACCTACCATTTTTCCTGTCCTTATTTGAGGGCAGTAAATACTTTCTATAAAGAAAGTAGCATGAGGTTCATATTCACAATGGAAAACCCCTAGGAATCCTGGCTTTTGTTTTTTGTGCATCTAAATCTTTCATGCAAACCTTACCTTACAACTGAAAACGGACAGTAAAGGGGGGGAAGTATCCTGACATCATCAAAGGTTCCCAGAGCTGGTGGCAATGATGATGCATCGTTGCTCTGAGCAGCGGCACAAGTAGGACCCTCTGGCTTCTGTGCTTCCCTGCCTTCCTCCAACACGTGTGACTCGAGTAGATTTACTGCTACTCGAGTTGAAGAACATCTCGTGAAATAAAAGCAACCATGTGGGATATACCACTTTATCATTTTTCCATCAGCAATGGAAAAAGGCTATTATCCTCTGTGAATGGGACACTATGGTCTGTGTGGTGTGTCCAACTTAAACACGGGGTGTGTAGAAATTTACCTGCAGAAACTGATGCTCATGCACTTGGATTAGGAAAATGGAAATTCCCAAGAACTTAAACAAATCCTTCCCATGTTAGGTCCAACAGCAAAGGTAAAAACTACTTAGTCTGGAAGACGTAGAGTTTAACTTGATTGAGTCAGGCTAGAAAATCCAGGCGGACACAAGACTTGTTCCTGCGGCACTGTCTACAAGGAGCAAATGGTATCGGTCGCTACCAACCGGTTTCTTCTACCGTGATGCTCCGCAGCCTGAGTGTCAGGTTGGCCCTAAGTGGGGCGGCGGACATGTCCCGCCCCGAGCGGGGAAGGCGTGTCACCGGCTGACATACTCCACAGCGTACACTGCGGAGCTACAGCAATCGACACAAACTATAAACCATTTCAGACACAGGCTGCACTTGAATAAAAGAACTTTATACCGTGACGCCATTCGCCCTGCCCCGGATTGCTCGGGCATGGGGAAGTTACTGCAGAAACCCTCTACATGCTACCATCAGGATTCATGCCCTCGGTTCCTCACCTATGAAGTCCCTCTAATCCAGCAGCATCCTAACCCCTTGAACCCCTCGATTGGGGTCCCACACCAACTCACGCACACAGATTTTTACAAGTGAAATTTTATCTACATTTAAAATGTCTTCTGGTTGCTCACTTACAAAACACGGCCAATGCTGTGCTGTTTGTGGTAAGAGATACGTTAATAAGATTAAGATGAAATATTTACTTAATTCATCCTTGTTCCGGTCACCTGGACCTGGAGTGCCTCAGTGGTGGGGGGTTAGTAACACAGGGAGGCAGTGGGCCCTCGGGCACACGAGCAGCGCTTTCGCACGTAAATACGAAACTTGGTCAGCCAAGGCCGCACGCAGTCACATTGCCCTTATTACAATTTCAACTACGAAAGCTACAGATGTTAACAATTATAAAATCACCCATGTCCTTTTAAAAAAGAAATCTGGCTATGCTCTTAAGTCTTCGTATTTTCAATTTTCAACTCAAGTCTTCGTATTTCAATGTTAATTTGTCAATTTTGCTATGTATTGTTAAATAAGCCTTCTTTTGCTTTACTCGCATTTCAAACTCACCGACCTGAATTGCGTCAACTGTCGTCTAGTCCTCCTGGTACACAAAAGGGTAAATACAAATGTCAAAAGAGAAACAATCCAGCAAAGAGGAACATTCCCATACCTGTACCCTGTAACCTCCTAAGAAGCAAGCCATTTTGGCATGGAGGATATATTCCTATCTTATTTTTTAATAATTCCTCTTTGCTTTGGATTTTTATTAGCTTTTCAAAAACCTTCACTAACTTAAATAACACCATATGGTTCTTGTAAGGTCACTGTGCCTTCCTAGTTTCAGGAAGTTGTCTTTTCCAAGTTAATCATGGCTAAGGCTACAAATGGACGAGAATCAACCAGTCACAGATGATCGTGGGTCGAGAGAAACAGCACAGACAAGTGAAAGTCAGCAAACGTCAGGATGCTCTGGAAACACAGCCGCGCTCAGGGAGAGAAGAGGGTGGGGCATTGTGGGAAACTTACCCCTTGTTCAGATTCCAAAAGCTCGGTTTTGACTCTGACTGACGGCATCCCATCAAGCATTAACATTCTGTTCTCAAAGGTGTTGATATTCTGAGAGGAAGAAGAGAGAGAGAGAGAGAGGGAAAGTCAGCCATAAAGCATTCAAATGAGGACGTCTGGTAGACTCTTCCTTCATGGTAGTACATTTAGTACTGCTAACCTAATTTTTTTTAACAATGAAGTATAATTAAATGAGACTATCAGCATAACCAATTATCCCCCCATTCTGAACTATCATTTGAAATAATGATCACGAAGTTGAATTAATCAGTCTGATTCTCTGACCTCTGGGTTAGAGGTCAGACTATAATAAACTGGAGTAAAGAAACCTTAGCCTTAATTTATATGGGGCTGGAAAGATTCATCACACTTTTGCAGTGGTGGAAGGAAAGAGAAGGATGTTTCTCTCTTCCTTAGTTCCAGAGGTTGCATGTGTGCAGAAATCCACAAAGGAGAAAATAGATAAAAAATGACCATATCCTCACATTATTGTCAAAATCTAAATAATTTTAAAAACAAGATAATATAATTCTAGACACTGAATTTTGGTATGGCACTTCAGATCAAATGAAAATTTCTATGTATTGACCCCAAACATTTATTTCAAAAACAATTCATATAAATTTTTAAGCTCAAGTCACAACCAAAAAATAAATAACAATTTGTTTTCTATTTTGGTATATGTTTGGCTGAATTTACCACTTCTTGAAAGGAGAACTTCTACTTATTTCTATAGTGACTCAGTAGAATTTCAAACAATATTTACAAAAAGATTAAATCGAGGTTATTCTCTACTAATTTTCACTGCTTTGGGGATTTTCTAAAGTCAATAACCTATGAAGAGAGTTCAAAAGACACTTATGATTGCTTGCTTCAGGCCAAAATCCTGTTTTAAAACACATTTAAGAATGTCAACTTTCCCTTCCCCTACTGACCAAACTCAGAAACTGAAATTAAGTTTGAGTTTTTAGAATGGTTTCTTTGCTCAATCATAGAACGTAAGCACAGGACTCTAAAGTGGGCTCCTTAAAAGAAAAAGAGATCTGTTTCTAAATATTTTGCTTGCCTTTGATGACAAAGATTAATATCATTTCTACACCTTCAGGTTTTTGCCTCTCACATGGTTGCTTTTCTATCTAGTTAAATAAAAACAACTCCCACTTTGACAAATCATAAATGTTTTTATTACCAAATAATACCAACAGAGTGCAGTATAGTAAAGCTCTAATTATCTCTATTTCTTGCCAATCCTTTTCAAGAAAAATAAGAAATAAAATTTATAGGGCCTCTTATCACATATATTTGTCCTGAGACATCAACAAGAAGAAAAGGCAAATTTACTCCAGAGCTAACTAATGAGCATTTAAAAATTCCATGCTACCTAGTCTATTAGGTAATAAAAAGAAGAAAAACTACTGTCAGGTTCTTTTCTTAGAAATGTGCAATAGTATTAAAACTGGCAGGATGCATTTTTTTAAATTTGTGCTTTTGACTTGTCCATATTTTTTAGGCATTTTGCATCCTAATAGCTTCAAGCAGAAAGAACTGTGGTCTCCCTGGCAAGCTCAGTTAATTTGTTCCAAGCTTTAAATCCTTTCATGGAGGCTGGTGGGTTGTTTACACATCAGGCATGGATCTCAAATCCTAATGTGTCACTTGCTTCCGTGGTTGGAAGCGGCCAGCTTGGTTTGCAACCACCCAGTTTTAAGAAAGCCTTCCTGCCGCCTGCCAGCCCTCCACGCCCCTGCCCTTCGCAGCAGCCACAAATCTCCCTAACAAAGCATCCTGTAGGCTGTTTGGTTGGTAGACAATGAAGAATGAGTTGATATTGCTTCCTACCCTGGAGGAGGTCTTGCCCAGAGGAAAAGGGGAAGATGCCTCGCAAAGGCAGGGAAAAGACAAAGAGCGGTTCTGGAAAGACAGGTTTAATGAACTGTTGGAATCTGATTAGAGGCTAATGTCCCTTTCAGTGCTCTGTACCAATTTACAGCTGATAGACTTTAACCATTCTCCTCACAGGCTGTGATAAACTCATTAGTTTAAAAAATGCAAGCTAACCCGAGTCTTTGAAGTTAAAAACTGATAAATCATGAAAACCTGACTCGGCCCATGTTCCATTTAGCACATTTAAATATCACTGTATTTTCATGTTTTTTTTTTATTGTTCCTCTTGAATACAAGGTTGTACAATATCAAAATGTTCATCACAACCAAACATAAAAAGAGTACGATGTGTGTTAAAGATAGGATGTAGATGTTAGTTTCCTATAAAAGTGGAAAAATAAAACACCTCTTGAGAGTTTTTTTAAAGAAATTAAGTTTTCCCTCAAAATATTTCTCTTTCCATGATTTTCCAGGATCAGCCACAGCCCCAACTATAATAAACACCATGAATAATAGTGTTCACAGCTAAGAAACCAATCCTTAACTATTAAACTCAACTAGTACAGATTCAATTTATATATATATATATATATATGTCTGAAAGTGATATTATAAATTTATATAAAGCATATTCATCTCTACATTCATGATTCCAACCCTGTCTAGTATAAACATAAGCACCGAGCATCACACCATATTCCAGACCATTCAGGAAAGGGTATGGGTTTTACGGAGCACATGGTAATTGTATAGCATTGAGGATATAGTTCCTGGGACAAAATATCGATAGATTTATCTCCCTAAGCTAAAATCAGATACATACAATCTCAGTTGACTGTAGACTTTAAATATGTAATAACCTTTAATAATTCGCAATTGCTGTCAAGCATATCTTGCCATGATCTTAATCAAACCACATTTGCTGTGGAATCAATAGCTCAACTGATTCCCAAGAGGTAAATAAAATTACACAGTCATCAATTTAAGGAACATCGTACTCTTTGTATGTTTGGTTGTGATGAACATTTTGATATTATACAACCTTGTATAATTTAATTTGTGTATGTATACATTCATATACACATGTACACACACGTGTATACACTCATACTGCATGCTTCGTAGGAGTACACTTTATTAATTAAAGCAAAAGGTAACCATTAGCTTTATTAGATGGCCGTTGACCAACCACATGTACACTGAATGAGAACAGTACTCCGGACTTTCCTTTTTGCCGAATAAGATTTGGCAACACAGAAGTCTAGCTGATGGTAGCTCACTTAGTCAAAACCAGGACAAGCACAACCTTCAATCAATGATCCTAATATCTCAAAATATTTTGAATGGAATGGCCAGGAAACATAGGGACCGATGTTCAATGATCATCTCATAAAAACAGAATGGGGTGGGACTTCCCCATGGCAACTACTAGAATCTGTCCTCCTATTCCCAAAATGCAAGCCTTTTCTTCACCCTCTTCCTGATTGTGGGTCATCCGGTTCTTTGGAGAAAACAACTGTTTTATCATAGCCCCCAAACTTGTGCTGAAACACAAAAGAGTGAAATTCATCTTGTTTTATACAGGTAAAGATCAACAAACCTAAAAGATTAGAATCAGGCAGAGCCAACAGGTTCAAATATCGATCACTATACAACAAATCACATCGCAGAATAAAAAAAATCATTTATTGTTATCTTAATAAAAAAACACAATAACAACACATCATATTTGCATATCTATTAAGGAGTAGACCTTGTGCTAAGGGATACTCATTTAGTCCTTACAGTAACCCAAGAAGTCAATGCTATATTCTCTGAAGATGAGACATCTGAGATATAAGGAGGTTAAACTGTCTAAGGTCTCAACATTACCAAGGGAGTACAGCTCTGTTCCAAACCAATTCTCTCTCTCCCCATACTCCATTCTTCCTCCTTCACTCCCCTCCTCCCTGCTCCATTCACCCCTCCCCATCTCTCTCTGTCTCTTTCTCTCTCTCTCTCCCCTCTCTCCCTCTCTCAGGAACTCTGGAATCTCCATTAACAGCTCCTCTCAGGACTAAGCTAATTTAGTCAGTGAATTAAATGTGCAAATTCTGGTCACTGGTGAGTATCAACATTTTGGGGAATATCAGTAAGAGGTCAAATAAGCCCATGGTTTCAAAGCTATTTCCTTTTTTTCCTTTAAATTAAAGTTTCAACATATTTTCTTGCCTTGATGAGATTATGCATCCTATCCTAGAAATAACTCATCATTAATTTAGCAAGTCAATCCCATCCTGATTTCAACACCCACAAAAATCTATGGTAAACTCATCTGCTATCCAGTGTTTTGAAAATATTCATATACCCTTGGTGGTTCATTCAATATTTACACAACAGTTTCATGCACTTGGATGATACAAGAACTTTACCCTCTACATTTGATACTCAAGGAGATACACCTGGGCATCACATTTAATTTATAATCTCTTAGATTAAGTGTAAGAGCGTATTTTTCTAAGCTCACATATCCTTACAATGATCAATCAATCTGGTGCAAGGCGTATGCATAATGAAAGCACCTCTCATGATACAAAATAAGTATCAGTTCAAACGTACTTTGCCATTTTGTCCCAGACTTTCACCTTTCATTGTTTTGCAGCATGGGAGAGAGGATGTCACATTGATGACCGTATCAGTACAACTAAGAACTCAGCTAGGCCTGCTGGAACTCTCGACTTAAATCCCCTCCAGTGGTTGCGATGAGACATATATACATAATTTTGAACTATCTGTCTACAGTCTTAAAAAGACTCTTCCACAAATTCCTCCCACTGAACCATGGAATTAGGTCTGTCATAAGGACTGGTAAAACTGTACTCGCCACATGGCAACTTCTATTTTCCCGATAGCAAGGATCATTGTTTCCTATGTTGGCAAATGCTTAATTACCACAACAATGCAGTTCACGCTGAAATTTTAGAAATGTCATCTGAGAGTCCAAGTAACACTCTCCACCCCCGCATTAATACAAAGTGTAACAGAAAGTTAGTTTTGTCATTCATATTCTGAAGAACTGCACACCGTCGGGGGTTGTCCATTAACCAGATCTCTCCATAGACAGGGAGTGAGGGTCTCTGCTGTGCCAAAGTCACCTCCTTCCATCCATGCCACATCTGTGAACCATG